TGGATCGAAGAGAAAATGATGCTGGTGAGCCGAGTAGGCATTGGAGGCCTGGGGTGGATGAGATGAGTGCCTACCGTGGCGAAGGGCAGGACCTGGTGTCCTTCTACTGGGACTAGGAAGGGTACTGGGGGCTGGTGTGCTTAGCAGGGCTGCATATAAGCTCTGCCAGCTGTGAGTCTGGGCAGCCTCCCTGGCCAGCCAGTGTGCTGAGCAGGAGGTAGCCAGCCTGCTCCTCCCCCTCCCTGGGACTGGGGCTCATCTCTGCTCTGGCTGTCTCCCACTTTGGCTCTCTCCCCAGTCCCACTCCACCCCCCTACATCACTCCTTCCTGGCCACAGCCAGATTCCAGCCCAAAATCTGAGCCTGGCCCGATGGGAGGGAGTCGCCTCGTCCTGTTTGTCAGTCCCCAGCTGGCCTCGCCCAGTGTCACCCTGACCCAGCTGTGCTTGCTTCATGTGTGCTGGTCTGAAGAGCACCCCTGTTTTGAACACCAGGCCTTGCTGGCTCGGTGGTCATGGAGAGGGGCTAGGAAGGCTGTGCTCAGCACCTCCCCACCTCCACCCACCGTGGGCCTGGCCTCCGTGGACGAGCTGCTCCCTGCCCCTCCCCCACAGTGTGGCTGGCTACTCAAAACCACAGCACCCTGGTGACGGAGCGCAGTGCTGTGCCCTTCCTGCCCGTTAACCCCGAATACTCAGCCACGCGGAATCAGGTGAGGGGACTGGATGGGGGGCCTGGATGATCTCCTTCCCAGGGTCTCCAGCTCTGTGAGCCCTGCCCTTCCTTAATGACTGTTGTCTGGGCCTGGCTGAGGCCCGCTGTTCTTCACCCCTGGGTGAGGCCTCCCTTGCCTGCCCCGGCTGGCACTGGGAGTGAAGCCGTGGTTAAATCAGATAGCAGGGGGCTGCCTTGCAGCTTCATTCCCACCCCTGCATATCAAACATAAAGGGGCCTCTCATGTAGCCCTGGCCCTTTCTGCCTCACAGGGGCGACAGAAGCTGGCCCGCTTCAATGCCCGAGAGTTTGCCACCCTGATCATCGACATTCTCAGCGAGGCCAAGCGGAGGCAGCAGGGCAAGAGCCTGAGCAGCCCCACAGGTGGGAAGGGCATGTGCAGGGCGCAGGCGGCGGGTACTGCTCTAGGATATTCTCTTTTATGGCTCCCTTTTGGGGATGCATGATAAACAAGTCACGTGGCTGAACCCTGAGTGACAGTCCTATGTCCTCAGACACTCTTGAGCTGTCTGCACGGAGCCAGAGTGACCTTGACGACCAGCACGACTATGACAGTGTGGCCTCGGACGAAGACACTGACCAGGAGCCCCTGCGCAGCACTGGTGCCACTCGCAACAATCGCGCCCGGGTCTGAGTGCTGCCCCTCCCCAGGCCTCCATCAAGGCCCAGCTCTGCCTGGGGCGTTGGGGGCAAATGGGATGACCACAGGCATTCGTCCCCTGCTGCAATGGCTGACTGGCTTGTGTCTCCCTCTGCAGAGCATGGACTCCTCAGACCTGTCCGATGGGGCTGTGACACTGCAGGAGTACCTGGAGCTGAAGAAGGCCCTGGCCACCTCCGAGGCCAAGGTACAGCAGCTCCTGAAGGTCAACAGCAGCTTGAGTGACGAGCTTCGGAGGCTGCAGAGAGAGGTGAGGGCTGCAGCCTTGGTGGGAGTGGGGGCTCCCAGAGCCCCAGTGGGGGGTGCTGCCTGGACCCTCTGGAGTTTGACACCACTCCACACTCTCAGATCCACAAGTTACAGGCAGAAAACCTGCAAATCCGGCAGCCACCAGGGCCAGTGCCTGTGCCCACACCTCCCCTCCCTGGTGACCGGGCAGAACATGCATCCATGGGGCCTGGAGGGAGTGCCCACCGCAGGGATCGCCAAGCCTTCTCCATGTATGAGCCAGGCTCTGCCCTGAAGCCCTTTGGGGGCCCTCCTGGGGACGAGCTCACCACCCGGCTACAGCCTTTCCACAGCACTGTGAGTTCCCTATGAGTCTCAAGGAGACAGGGACTCGGGGTTGGGACCACCACAGGGCCCTCTGTGACACGCACTGTGCTGACCCCCAGGAGCTGGAGGATGATGCCATCTATTCAGTACATGTCCCTGCTGGCCTTTACCGGGTAAGCAGGGCTGGGGGCAGTGGGTCCATTTATGCAAATAGGGTCTGTGCCCTGGTGAGGGCCAAGCTTTGTGCTTGATGCCCTGCACGGGGATGACTACACTCACAAGGCATGCCACCCCGTCTGCTGGAAGTGGAGCGGGGGAGGAGCAGAGATTGACCCCAGCTCTCCTGGGTTTCAGATCCGGAAAGGGGTGTCCGCCTCAGCTGTGCCCTTCACTCCCTCCTCCCCACTGCTGTCCTGCTCCCAGGAAGGAAGCCGCCACCCGGTAATGTTTCCAGCCCTGGAACTCCAGGGGCAGCTGAATGAGATGTGGGCGTGGGCACTGCTGGGGGTGCAGGTCCAGGGATGTGAGCCTCACCCGCCACCCCTTCCCTGCACCCTCCAGAGCAAGCTTTCCCGCCATGGCAGCGGTGCCGACAGTGACTATGAGAACACACAAAGTGGGGACCCACTGCTTGGGTGAGGCACCCAGGGGGGTGAGGGTGAGCAGGCCCTGGAGTTTGTGAGGGCCCCAGTTGTGTAGCCTCGTGACCAGAATGTCTAATTCCTGCCTCAGACTGGAAGGGAAGAGGTTTCTAGAGCTGGGCAAGGAAGAGGACTTCCACCCAGAGTTGGAAAGCCTGGATGGAGACCTTGACGCTGGGCTTCCCAGCACAGAGGATGTCATCCTGAAGACAGAGCAGGTCACCAAGAACATTCAGGAATTGTTGCGGGCTGCCCAGGAATTCAAGCATGACAGGTATGGGGGTGGGGTGCAGGCTCGTGTTGGCCTGTGGGTTGCAGAGGGCAAGAGAGAAGACGGTGTCCTACTGTCTCTGTGAGTGTTCCTTGAGAGTTCCACTAATGTACCTCTAACCCTTCGCCACAGCTTTGTGCCCTGCTCTGAGAAGATCCACTTGGCTGTGACCGAGATGGCATCTCTCTTCCCAAAGGTACAGGAGCCAGAGAGGAGCAGGATTGGGAAGGCCTCAGGGTGGGGCAGGTGTAGAGAATCTGCCCACAACCTTAGTGGAGACAGACTGGGCTTGATCATGGCTCATGGTTTGAAGGCCAAGTCCCTCCTCCCTTCCCCCTCCAGAGGCCAGCCCTGGAGCCCGTGCGCAGCTCCCTACGGCTGCTCAACGCCAGTGCCTACCGGCTGCAGAGTGAGTGCCGGAAGACGGTGCCCCCAGAGCCTGGTGTTCCTGTGGACTTCCAGCTGCTGACTCAGCAGGTGATCCAGTGCGCCTATGACATTGCCAAGGCTGCCAAGCAGCTGGTCACCATCACCACCCGAGAGAAGAAACAGTGACTGCTCTCCCTGTGCCCTAGCCTGCACCCTGGGACCTCACTGGCTGTGGGAGCTGGGCCACTCCAGACACTAATCTTCACCCCAACAGAGCCGCTGGCCCAAGTGCCCTTAGTGCTGCCACTCTCCCCTGGCAGCCAGGCACCCTGGTGCCCGCCCCCTTCAAGCCCCCAGTGATGGGGAGGTGGGGTGGCAGGAGCTTTTGTCCCCGACATTCCATGCACCTCCCCCTGTACATAGCATCCCCTCCCCTTCTAGCGTGCAGGGGCCTGTAAGGCATTATTCCCAGGCCCTTGCCCTCCAGGGCACCCTCAGCAAAGGGTCAGGTGGGGACACTCCACATGGGGTGGTTCCCCTATGTGCACCCCACCATGAGCCAGTTCAGTCCTAATGGGGGCTGAGTGGGGGCATCCCCTCCTTTGTACATGATCTCTATGGATGTCCCCGCCCTGAAGCTACCAGCCCTCCTGCTGCTCTCCTTTAATGCCAAATGGCCCCCACCTAGGGCACAGGTCCCAACCTGTGTTCCCGGGGTCCCCAGCAGCAAACACTGGAAATTCTTTTTTTCTCTCTCTTCCACCCCTTAATTTTAACATTGTGGTAACTGAGTGTCCCTGCGTGCCTGAGTGTGAGTGTGCGGGGCGGCAGTGCCGTTCCGGAGGCCTGGCCCATCTGGAATTTTGTGAGGGGTGAGGGACCACAGCAGCAGGACCAGCGTTGGGGTTCAGCACACCCTCCTGCACCCCAATCCTGGGGCCAGGGACCACCGGAGTAACTAGCTGGGGTCCTGCCTGCTGCCACCCCTCATCACTCCCCCAACTTGTACTCCTTCTCTATGAACTTAAAAGGAAAACCACTTCCCTCCATCTCTCCATCCCGCCCCCCACCCCCCTTGTGGAGAGGGATATGCTGGCTGGGGCAGAGAACTGAGCACCTGAGCCTGGGGCTGGCTCCCCAGGGTCCCCAACTCAGCTGAGAGCCCCCTCCCCAAAACCTGAGGCCAGCACCTGCACCTGTGGTATCTGGGTACCTGGAACCTGGGCTGCAGCCTGAGAAGACTGGAGAGGCAGGCGGTAGCACCTCCCAGCTCTTCTCCCCGTCCACCTCTGTCCCAGGGGCCAGGCTCTGCCTGCGTGGTGGTAGGTGGCCTGACTGTCAAGACGTGTGTCATGTACATTTGTATCAAAAATAAATAAGTGACCATGTACTATTTCTAATGCTTAAGAAAACTCAGAGGGGGCCTGGGAAGGTGGCAGACATAACAGACCTGGCAAAAGCACAAAGCAAACAGAGATTGCAACTGCTCCACACATGGACTCCATGGAAGGGAAGCCCGTATCTTTCAGGAAAGAAGCTTAGAAAAAACAGCATTTCAATAACTACATCACCATCTCTTCCCCCATGATGGTCGGAGGGTTTGTGTCACGCTCCCCAAACGCTGTGTCTAGAAAGGCCTAGTTGGCAAGAGGGAGGCAGGCTGGCAGGCACCAGGCTGATGTTAGAAACCCTCTATCAGATACGACCTAAATGGCCAAGTACAGTGTCCTGGGTGGGAGTGTGTCTGTGTCGCAGAAGCTCTCAGCTCCACACTCTAGTAAAATAATTTAATTAGAAACAAAGGCAAGGAAGGCTAAAACAGCCCTTTTTACCCCTGGGCCACCGCTTCTGCAAACCCCACGTTCAGCACAAGCCCCTAGGCAATGCTGAGGCAGGACTGCTCCATCTGGCCGCCAGGGGGCGGCCCCGAGCGCGGTCCACGTGGCACAGGTGGCAGCCTCCCGGCGGGAGGAGGAACCACGCCTGCCACAGAGGCAGGGCTGAAGCTGTCAGTCGGAGCTTTCCACCTCCGGGCCGCTGTCGGGCGTGGGTGGGAGGAGGGGTCTCCGGCGGGAGCGCTTGACCCGGCGCGGGGGCATCAGCAGCCTCCGCTTCAGCACAGCTATGGGCGGGGCGGGGGACAGTCAGGGTAGGGAAGTCATGCCGGCCCGCGCTGGGTGGGAGGGCGAGGCGGGGAACTTCTCACCAGCCACCGTGTCCTGGCCGTCCGCGGTGGGTTCCCAGTAGATGCTCTCCCCGCGTCGGAAGTTTCGGTGCAGTCGCGTGCAGAGCGTTGCCAGGGTGAGCAGCACCAACAGGAAGGTCAGGGCCATGGCCGCCCAGGCGGCCTCCTCCGTGCGCGGGGTGGGGCCCCGGGCTGCCCGCGGAGGTGCCGCTGCCCGCGGGGCTGGGGAAGCCTGACTTGGACAGGCACAGCCCCCTCGGCTGCTTTGCTCTTTGGGCACCTGAGCCTCTATCCTGGAGCTGGCATTGCTCCCAAGCTCCCAAGGCAGCAGGGAGACATTGGGCACAGATGGGGCATTACCCCTCTCACTGGGGGCTCCCATCATGGGCTGCTTGGCCTCTGAGCTCCAGTGGGAAGCAGCAGGGCCCCTCAGGGCTGAGGGGGTGGACTGCAGACTGAGGGCAGCCCGCAGCTCACGCTTCTTGGCACCACCAGGAGAGCGCTGCCAGGGCCCTCTAGATGCCGCATCTGTGCCTGGAGGCCGCCAGCTGTGCAGAGTGAAGGCCAAAGCTGGGGCCTAGGGAAGAAGAGACAGCAGTCACCCTTTCCCTGCCTAGGTATCCCAATAACCCCACCAACAACCAGGGCTGGGCTAGAGCACCCCTCACCTGCACACACCCTCTCCGGCACAGCCTCCCTCTGCCCGGCGCTGGCACCAAGGGAGAGGACCTGGAAAGGCTGCTGGAACGGAACCATGCCTTCTTCCTCAGCTTCCTCCGCCTCCGCCTCTTCAGCCAGCGGGCAGCCCAGGCTGGCTCCACCCATGCCATCTCCAGGAGCACCCCCCATGCTGCCAACACCAGGGGCTATGAAAGGAGGTAACTGGTAGAGCTAGGATGAAGGTGGGGAGCAAGCTAGAGGAAGTCCCTGGATATTCCTTTCCCTGCCCATGGGGCTGCAGCCTCTGCCAATGCCAGACAATCACCTGTCATTAACCACTTACTCGATCCTGAGTAAGGCTGGAGTCAGGGGCCAGTGAGGGCTTGGCCATACAAACGTGGGCCAGGAGGGCAAGCTGGAGCTTCAGCCAGGGGTGAGCACAGGGGTGGTAGAGGAAGCTGATAGCCTCAGCCTGCCGGAAAAGGATGGAGACATCAGGCCAGGTCTGGGTCTCTCCCTAAGAATCTCAAATTCTTCCATCCCAGGAGACAGTTTAAAGGGACACCCAGGATGCCACCCTTTAGGGCTCAGGAAAGGACAAAGAGGCCTAGATGCTGGCCCGCACTCCCTCTTGCCTCTGAGCATTCCTTTCAGGCCTCCTGTCAAAGTGCCACCCCTCAAAGCTCACAACTTCCATGACCAAGTGCCTGGATAACCCTGTCAGATTCAGACCACACTCTCGCTGTTTTTCTCCGCATCTGCAATGATAGTCCTACAGGTCCCCAGTCTAGACTGTAAGCATCCTTCAAATGGAGACAGGTGTTCTGTTTATCGATCCTATCTATAGGTTCAGTCTCCCCAAAGCATCCAAATACAGGGCACACGGTCAGCAGGCACACACCCCAGGATGGAAACACTTCATCATTTACTCAGTACTCTTTGACAGAGCTGACCTGATGCTCAGCACTGTGCCAAATTGCTGTTGAAGATGCCAAAGAGAACTCCTGGGCTCCTCTTGCAAGGAATGTAAAGAAAACTCAGGGAAACGGAACAAATGCAAATGAACAAGCAACTAATAAAACTCAAAGTGATTAGCTGTTAAAATTACAAGAGATAAGTTATAAGTATTACATGAATTTGGAGAAGGTGATAAGGGCTGATGTGATCAAGCAAGTTTCAAGAGAGAGCTGACTCCTGCACTGGGCTTTGAAGATGGATGGGGATGGGTGCTTCAGCTTCAGGTCAGGATAGGCCAGCTGTACGAGACGACATTAGTAATGGAGGAGATTAAACAGGAGCAAAGATACAGCAGTAGGAATGAGCTGCACTGACATGTGTGGTGAACAGACCAACACGACTGGAGAGGAATCAAAGATATGGAGAGGTCAGACAAGGTTTATTTAACGAGGGCCCGAAAAGCTGGCAGGGGTGTATGACCATGATAAGGTGGGAAATAAGGCGCCAATGAAGGTTTCCGAACAGTGGACTGATTTAATGAAAGGGCTGTTTGAGGAAAGGAATCACATAGGTGGCACTAAGGTCTCTTGGCCTAGAGCTATTACATGGATCAAAAAAAAAAGATTTCAAAAAGAAAACCAAAGGGACAGGGAAGCTCTCGGACCACTGGCAATGAAAACAGAGAAGGAATCATGCACTTTGGAGCCTGGTAACCTGAGGCACACTCCTTACACGACAAGGCTTTCTACTGTTCAAGGTGCTGGCGTGTACTACTCGTTTACTCTTCGTGGGTAGGGACATTACTCATGTCATCTCTTACAGAAAACTGGGGCCCAGAGAAGCTAGGAGGCTCCCACAGTCACACAGCAGAGTCATGGCATGGGGTGTTTTTTTCCTACTACCCTCGGCATTCCCCTTGCAGCCTCCTGCCCGCACAGCGAGCTACTCAACAGCATTCTTGACACAGCGCTGCAGGGACAGAGGCGTGAGGCTCCCTGTCCTGGGACTAAGACATTGCCTCTTCTGAGAGGAGTGGTAAAGAATGGAGCTGGTCAGCGGACAAGGCAGAGAAAGCCTGCAAAGAACTGGCTGTTGCAGGTGCAGAAAGTAAGGACAGCTTCCTGCTTGGCTTACCTGCTGGGGGCTCATCCGTGTGTAGGTCACTCTTGGTGACACCTATACAGGGGGAAAGAAGAGAGCTTGGAGGAACTGGGGGGCTGTGTGTGGGGAATGAGCAGGGGACAGCAAGCCCGAGGCTGCCAGGTTGGGCTGGAGACACTGACAACTGAGGAACCGGCAGAGGTCCTCAGACGACGACTGTGGAGGAGGCAGCAAGGCCAGAGCGGCACCGGGCTACCCTTTCACAGCCCCTCTCCACCTGCCTCCAGGCTCCTACCTGTGGGGGCAGAGGCCACAGGCCCTCGGGACAACGGGCTGCCGCCTCCTCCGTCGGCTCAGCCACCACCTGTGGGTCCAAAGCCCAGAAGAGCTGGGGCGCTGGCCTCGGCGAGGGCCCTGCCCCCTCCCTTCTCAGGCCCAGCCCTCCGGGGCCGGGCTCGGAGTCCCCTCTCCGCCCGCCACTCCTTCCAGGACGAACTTTCGGCACAGCGCTTTGAGATCCCAGGCCGAAGCTTCCTCAGGAGCGGGTTGCCTTACCTCACTGGGACCCAGGAGCCCCGCAAGAGCTGCCAGGAGAAGCAGCCGGGAAGAAAGCGTAGGAGGTGCCATCCCGGGCGCGGCCCGCCGCCCCTTAAACAAGGGAACGCGCCCCGCCCTGCCCCCGCGCCCCCGCGCCGCCGCGTGCCCACGTAGACCCCGGGCTCGCGCGCGCCGTTCCGCCCCCTACCCCGGACCGCGCACCCCAGCTCCCCAGGCTCGCGCGCTCCTCGCCCCGCCCCCTGCAGCTCCCAGCCACTCTTGCCCCGCCCCAATGTCTTCCCACAGCCGCCGACAGTGCGCGCACGCGTCCTCAGCCCGAAGCCGGAAAAGTTTGGTGTGCGAGCCGAGTCCGTGGCACCGCGGTGCAAGGCGCAGGCGGCGACGCCCCCTGTTTGCCAATGTGTTTGTCGCAGCGGGTCTCTGCGGGCTGCAGAGCGCAGCTGCAGCGTCTGGGTGGGATCATGGAGTGGGGGTGAGGGCGGGAAATGGGATCCCTGTGGATCCGGTGGCCCAGGAGGGGAGACCCGTATGTTCCTCCATCAAATCCGCTCCAGACTGGTCAGTGTGATCGGCAACTACAAGAGAGTCAGAATCATTAAGTCTGAGCTGCGGAAGTAAGAGGGTCCCCCATCTAAAGCTTCACCTTCAGCCCATCATACTCCTACCCTTGCAGAGCCGGAGGAGCCACGATGGTCTCAGGCCTCCGCCTTTCCCCGGCCCAGAAGTCCCGGGAAGTAGGAACAGGGCTGGGGGCTGCTTTGTTCCCCACGTCCGCCTCAGCTCTTGTCGTTCGCTCAGAGGTGGCCAGGATGTGTCCAGGGAGACAGTGGTCACCGCGAAATGGAAGGGTCACAGGCCTCGCCCCCAGCAAGGGAGCGCTGACCGGATCTCCCCAGCAGCGGAGCGAAGGCTCTGCTGCCTTCTTCCCGATGACCTTCTTCTTGGCCCGGCTCAGGATTTTGAGGAAAAACGGGAACGTGGGTGAAGGGTGAGGTTGAGATGCGCAGCCCAAAACTTCGAAATAGCCCACGAACGTCTCCCACATACCTGGGACTTACTAGGGAGTTTCTTACCCTTCCCCTGTTCCCCAGTAATTGCCGGTTATTGAGCTGATGGAGAGACCCATCGCAGGGTCACAGGCACCACCCCACCCCCACCCCTCGGCGAAGCCCTTGAGTGCGTCTGTTTCACAACTTATTCCCAGAGGGTTGGAGCTGTTTTTTCTGGGGAAGTCCTTCCTGGTGATCACGATTGAGAATTTCCTCTATCTCAAGCCAGGCTGCTGGGGGAGCCCCACGCTCCGGGTGGGATCGGGACTGCGCACTGATGCAGCAAGGCAAGCAGCAGCCCCCGGCGCTCCAGCCTCCCGCTGCAAACCCGCTGTCCGGGCAGGACGCCTGCCTGCCTTGGCGCTCGCTGGCCCGAAGTCGGACCCACCGCCGGGGCCGGTTATTGCGCAGATGCGGGTGGCCGCGGGGCCGAGATAAACCTGTAGGTCAGAGATCACGGCCGAGCCCGAGGAGGGAGGCGCAGTTGGTGGCTCCGGCTGCAGCTGCAGTCGCCCGGCGGGAGCCAGGGAACCCGCACACGGATATGCGGTTTATTCACTTCTCCCTTTTGCTACTTTTCAACAGCTGCTCCTGAGGGCGCAGCAACGCAAGGCCTCCCCGGCTGCAGCACACCGCACAGGGCGAGAGGGCGGGAGCAGGGGACTCTTGATGCTCATCCCCGTACCCCAAGCCTCGGTTTCCAAGTCTTCCTGCTCTTCTGCCGTCAACACTCCACTCCTCGGCTCGTCTGCCCTTCCCACTCCCTCCCGGCTCGCTGGCGCGTCCCCGCTCCTTCTCCGTGGCCTGTGCTCATTTCGCCTTCTGCTCCTGCTTGTCGCAATCGCTGTACAAAGGGCCGGGGGCGGGAGTGGGGGGCGGATGAGGGGAGCCGGGCCCGAACTGGCTGCCTCTGCGTGGCCGCGGCCAATCCGGAGCGTGCCCCCCCGCGCGGAAGGGCCTATCCGCCCGCAGCCGGGCGGAGCTGCGGGCAGAGCAGGGAGCTTGCCGAGGGGACGGCCCCGCCGCCTGCCTCCAGCCATCCGACACCAGCCAGGGGCTCTCCTGCCTCGCCATGCCGCCGTGGGGCGCCGCCCTCGCCTTGCTCCTGGCCGCGCTCGCCCTGCTGGGCCTGCTCGCAGAGAGGCTGCGGAGCTTCGGGAGGCGCGCCGTCGGAGCTAGGGCCCTGCCGGGAACCCGGGGCTGGGACACTGAGGAAGAGGCGGACGGCAGAGGCCCCGCGGACCAGTTCAGTGACGGGTGTGAGCCGCTGCCCGGGGGGTGCAGGCTCCTCTGTAAGCCGTCGGCGCTTGCTCAGTGCCTGCTGCGCGCCTTGCGACGCTCGGCAGCGCTGGAGCCGGGCCCGCGCTCTTGGCTCTCCGGGCCCCACCTGCAGACCCTCTGTCACTTCGTGCTGCCGGTGGGACCGGGGCCTGAGCTGGCGCGGGAGTACCTGCAGTTGGCGGACGACGGGCTGGTGGCCCTGGACTGGGTTGTGGGACCTTGCGCCCGGGGCCGCCGGGTTGCCAACGCCGGGGGCTTTCCGGCGGTGCTGCTGGTGATCCCCAATGCGTGGGGGCGCCTCACCCGCAACGTGCTTGGCCTCTGCCTGCTCGCCCTGGAGCGCGGCTACTACCCGGTCATCTTCCACCGCCGCGGCCACCACGGCTGCCCGCTGGTCAGCCCCCGGCTGCAGCCTTTCGGGGACCCGTCCGACCTCAAGGAGGCGGTCACTTACATCCGCTTCCGACACCCGGCGGCCCCTCTGTTCGCGGTGAGCGAGGGCTCAGGCTCGGCGTTGCTGCTGTCCTACCTGGGCGAGTGCGGCTCCTCTAGCTACGTGACGGGCGCAGCCTGCATCTCGCCGGTACTGCGCTGCCGCGAGTGGTTTGAGGCAGGCCTGCCCTGGCCCTACGAGTGGGGCTTTCTACTCCACCAGAAGATAACCCTCAGCAGGTGGGTAACAGAGTCCGCAGACAGCTGAAGGGGACATACAGGTCTTGGGCTGACGGAGAAACAGCTCTGCCTGGTATTGAATCAAATGGGTTTAGGGTGATCTAGGCAAAATCCTTCTCACACAATTTCAGAAGCTGCTCAAACCCTTTAGTCTGGACAGAACCAGGGAAGCAGAGTTAAGAGCCATAGACAGGCTCAATCAGCATCATTGAGCTGGAGCAGGGACTTCTGCCCAGGGGCCCCCCTGGCCTCACTGCAGCCCCACCGTGTCCTAGCAACCTGAGCACCTGCCCTACACACAGCAGAGGCAGCGCCTGACATTTACCACTTAGTCCATCGCTTGTCAAATCAGCAAAGAGGGCTCTGGAAACAATTACAATTGATCCAGAATGTTCCCTTATAGTCTCTGAGTCAGGAGGAGACAAGAATAAAAAATTCAGTGGTATCTGATTTATTAAAATTATTTAGACCTGATGAATCTCTTGCATATTCCTAGGTATATACTCAATATTAAATGCAAAATTGTAAAGAACATTTAAACATAACATTTTTTTTTAAGTCCAAAAAGAGAACAATCTACCACCAGAGTGATGAGTGAAACACTTCCACTGAAAAGTCCTGAGTCACAACCTTTCCACAACAAATACCCAAGCCGGAGCTTACACTGTTGCTTTCCTACGAGACGGCCGAAAGAGGTCATTGACGTTACTGGCAACAGTGTGGTGTGGCAGAAAGACCTGGGATGTGGGGCCAGACCTACTTGAGTTCAAGTCCTGAATTTGCAGCAAGTTAGCTAAAACCCTTTTGAGCCTCACTTCCTTCTTCAGTTAAGTGGAGTTAATAACAACTACCTCCTAAGGTGATTATAAGCATGAAATGACAAATGTGGGAGGTGGGTAGCTGGCACTGGGTAGGTGCAGAGTAAATGGTGGCAATAGTGATTTCTCTTTCTTTCCCTGCTCCGTTTTACCTCCTCTTCTGTGAAGGTCAAACCTAAGCTCAACAAGAGCCCAAACTGCTGCCATGACAGCCCAGAGCCGCAGAACGGTCCTGGGGCAAGGTGCTCCCAAATGGCTTAATTGCCAGTTTCCATCCCCCAAAAACCACCACCAGCGCTGACCCCAGGCACCTGCTGGAGGATAAGGTGAGGAAAGTGGAGAGGACACCTGGACCTTTAGGAGTTGCCCTGCCCATGGAAGTTTGGGATTGAAAACTCAGTTCAAGCCTCTTTGAGTGTTTGCAGGAGACACACATCCAAATTAACTGGCTAATTCATCCTTGTCAGGATGCCAGGAGGTGGAAATAGCGAAGATATCCCTCCTCCCGAGAGCATTTGCTCTCAGGCTCTCATTTGGGAACTTACTCTGTAGATTAACTATACTCCCAGTCACTTTCTCTGCCACCCTGCCCTCTCTAGGAATACCTGCCCCACTGATCAAGTCATACTCATTCACCATCATTTGGACAGCATATCAACTTTTAAACAGAGAAGCAAATGCAATCTAAAAATGTTAATGAAGTGGGGATGTCACCGACTGGTTTGAATAGTGAGTTTGTTCTTCGAGAAGGTGCTCAGTTGCTGACCCTTCATACCAAATTCCCTACAGAAGGTCAGAAATTAAGGTCGGGAGCTTACAACCTCCTGTCACTGTAGCTCAGCAGCTGTAAAGCCAAATGCTTCCCCGGGTCCTGGCAGGTATGGCCTTGAATGACAGGCCTGCTAAGAACAGTGACATAAGAAGGAGGGAGGAATGTGCTGATTGGTTCCCTATGGAATGCCAACCCATGTTGCCAGATCTTCTCATTTCCCTTGGGAAGCTCAATAAGCTGCATAATTGTGTGAAATTTCCTGATTTTAAATGATGAAATGAAATGGAAGTTTTAAAAACACTACATGACCAAAGAAAGCTTCTGTGGCTAGAACCTGGACTGTGAGCTGCCACTCTGTAACTTCTGCTGTCCATTGGTTTCTAACCTGTTCCTCTCTTTCCTACCTTCCCCATTCAACTTCTAACTGCCAGGTACACCACGGCCCTGGAGGACACAGTGGACACCCACAAGCTGTTCAGGAGCCGCTCCCTGCAAGAGTTTGAGGAGATCCTCTTCTGCCACACCAAGAGTTTCCCCATCAGCTGGGACACCTACTGGGACCACAATGACCCCCTCCGGGACGTGGACGAGGCAGCGGTGCCCGTGCTGTGTATCTGCAGTGCTGATGACCCAGTGTGCGGGCCCCCAGACAGCTTCCTGCCCACCGAACTCTTTCACAGCAACCCCTACTTCTTCCTCCTGCTCAGCCACCATGGAGGCCACTGTGGCTTCCTGCGCCAGGAGCCCTTGCCAGCTTGGAGCCACGAGGTCATCTTGGAGTACTTCCGGGCCTTGACTGAGTTCTTCCGAATGGAAGAGAGGATGAAAGCGCTGAGTAGGCACCGAGCCTCATTCCTAGGGGGGCGGCGGCGCTGGGGACTCCTCCAGAAGCGGGAGGCCTCTCCCTCTTCCAATTTGGAGGAGATCTTTAGTTGGAAGCGATCATATACAAGGTGAGAGACTGCCTGAGAACCATTCAGTGCTGCAGGGAAGGACAGAGCTGGGCACTGCTCCATCCTGAAAAGCCGGTCAGGACTTCGTGGGCCAAGCAAGTCCAGCTCTGTGCCACTCATTCAGCCCCTTCTGTCTGAAACTGGTGTGTGGAAAGAGACAAGACTTCCAGAAAATGGGTGCTCACCATCCTGAGTAGAACTCCTGCCCTGACCCTGCTCCACACATTGCAGCTCATCCTGGTCAGCAGCTGGGCATTCCAGCCACTGTCTCTGGTCACCGACCACATAAACCAAGGAAATGCAGCATGGTACTCAGAGGAAAATGCTCTCACTAACAGTGACTACAGAGATGAGTTTTTGTGTGTTGTGGGGCAGTTCTGTCCCCTATAAAATAACAGGCTCTGTGACCCAGACCTCAAGGAGTCCCTCCTTGAGCAAGGACAGGATGTTTGCATCTTGGTCCAACTTCCCTCATTTCAGTCCGCTGTTGTGGCACTCTGCTGATTTCATGCCACCTCAGTGGAAGTGTGCTCACAGAGCTGCATGGCTGCATCCATCTGGCGTGTGTCAGAAAGGTGGCAGAGGCCTGAGACAGGGTTGGTGGTGGTTACAAGGAAGAGAGTATGAATTTCGGTGTCTGGAATACCAAGACCCAGTCTTCCAGACAGGTTCTGAAAGTCTCAACCAGGAATGGTATTGATCTGGGGATTCAGCCTAGGACCCCAAGCCTCACCGGAGATCCTAAGGATGAGTTTAGGAATGGGAAGTCCTTGCACACAGGGTCTGCTAGACAGGGTCTCGGGGAGCCAGGCTCTCAGGCACCCTACCCCCTCCCTCCAGTACCATTTCAGGGGATTACTCCAGAGAACCCTGGCCAGAGCTATTTTTTCTTCTGAGATGTGGGCTTTCTTGAAGTGGAAATATATAGATCTCATCTGTTAGGTATTTTCTGGTTATTTTCTGGTTATTTGTCCTCTTTTCAGACACTACCATTAGCCTCTCCCTCTCCAGAGAAAACAAAAGTTCCAAGAGGTTGGCTGGCACTGACTTGCTAATTTATGAATGTTTCACATTACCATGCTTTTTCTGCTCAATCTTTTGAAAAGCCATCCATGTAGATACAGAGAAACCTTCTTCCTGGATCTGGCCACTCAGTAACTGGTTTTATGAGGAATAATCCTAAAGATCACAGTAAAATAAAGTGTTGTACAGACCGATCCACACATCCTGGTTTGGATCAGGCCATTAAATTGTCTGGTTGATTTATGGGCTTGAAGATCAGATCACAGACCTGATCCAGATCCTGGGAGTTGGGAGATGACATAATGGTTTTAATTAAAATAACTCTGCTAAAGTGACCAGAGGATGTTTTAAAATAGCCAGTAATCATGCACTAAAGTGTCCAGGAAGAGCTAAAAGTTTGAAAAGTGGAATTTCATGAAAACAAACAATAAAAGACACCAACGCATCAAAAATAAACATCTCTAGCCTGTCAGCCATCCTGTGTAATCAGAGAGTACCTTGCCCTAGTGTTTATCACTAGGGTGGCTGAAGAAAAATCACTCTCCAACTCATTTGCCTCTGAATAATATATAAATTAGATTCCCTGCAATGATGGCATGTCATTATTTTTTGAATGTCCAGAAAGAAATGTTCTGTCTGTCCCGTGAAGCTCTCTGTGTGCTGAGCTATGCTCGCCCGCCTGTGGAGCTGGCAGAGCCCCCCTGTCCGCCCTCCGTCCTCTAGGTGCTGCCTCTGTAGATCTAGCCTCTGTGCCCAACATTAACCAGTAGAGGCTCTGTTTAATCAACAACCTGGCCTCCTGCTCCGGGCTAATAATTTGCCAGCAAGCTCAAAATTCCCTGATTATCAATGGTACCTACGTAGAGATATTTTCCAGAGGGCAATTAGTAACCTGTGTGGGGGACAGAGCACTGAGGTAGTTTGGAGATGTGGCTTCTAGTTTCTACTTCATCTGACTCATGACCTTGGGAAAGTTATTTCATGTGTATGACTTACTAGTTTGCAGAGATAAAATTGAGAAGTTGTACCTATCTGGGTGCCCTATGAAAAGACTGGGACTGTGAATAGACCTTAATTTGGTCTGTTAGAATATAATGAAACAGTCAAAGCAGCTAGATCCTGTTCTCCGAGTCTATTAAAGACCTCTATGATGAAATGGCATCTACTTTCTGATCCGAATCTATTCTCCACTTCTTACAAAGGCAGAAGTCCCAGTTATTAATTCCATTGCAAAGTTGGGAAGGGCCTGGAAGATGGGCATCTGAGGTTCTCAGGCTGGGCCCTGGGCTGCCCACTGTACACTCCCCACACACAGACACACACACTCTGAGAACCATAAGATGGCTGATGAGTCTCACACTGGTTCATTTGTTCCAGCCAGAAACCACCTGTTTTCCTATTTCTTTTGAATCATGGTCAGAGAAGCTGTGGTTAAG